GTCCTTCTCTGTTCTTTTTCCATTATTTACACGTGTAGCTCATTTCATTGCTATCCACGTTTGATATAATCACTTATCACATACTGCCATGATGCTCGTGTCTGTCCGCTACAACTGTCAAGAATTAATGCGATTGGCGAAGCGTAGTGACAGCGAGCCAATAGAGAGCAGGGTGCGCAATCCTTGCCAATTTTTGTACGTGAGTTAATCAAGCCGAATTGCAGCTATTCAGCCACACTCCTGGCCAAATATACTATTGGTTGCATCACTAATTGATTTATATTTAATTGCAAGTTTTGAATGTTCATTCTCCTCCACCGTCTGGAGAATGAAAAAAAGAAAAAATATCTGGACAATCAGGATTTTATTGTAGCTTCTCTTGAGCCTTTTTCTGATGCCATCTCCAAGTAAATCACTTACACAAGCAAAAAGAGTTACTTTCTGCCCACTTTCTATGTACTTCTATGTACTTTTTGGTTGTACAATGGATGTCAGTTAGAAATAAACACTGCAATATATAACCAATATCCAGCAAGAAGAAACTACAGCGGTACCTCAGGATACGAACGCCCCAGCATACAAAATTTTCAGGATACGACATGAAATTTGAACATATTTTTGCTTCACAATATGAACAAAAACTCACCATACGATGTTACATTAGTTTACAGTGCCATTTTTTATTCACTTCTGTTCATTGGTCCCGGTCCGCATGTTTGCTTTGTCGTGGAAGGATCTCGCTCGATAAAGGAAATCTCGAGGTATTATCAGAAAGTGACTGATTTTATTGAAAAGAAACATCCCGAAAAGGTTCACACTGGCCGTATTGCTGCTCAGNTAAATTTTGATAAGTTCTTTGAAGAGGCCAAAATTGACTTTATTATGAACAAGGAAGTCTGGATTTACAGGCCAGTCCATATTGTTTAGATTTACTTGCTGCCTCCAGCGGTGCCTAATGTCCTCAAGCATGGGACAGTTGAAAAGATAGTGTAAGACACCATCTTGAATACCACAGAGATTACAGTGATCATTATCTATGAGATAGAATCTCTTAAGATATACACTAAAGTGCTCGTGTTCAGTTAAGAATTGCATCAATTCATGACTGGGCTGCATCCATTTGTTCTGCATACGGTTTTGAATTTTTGGAAAAAATCTCTTTGTAATGTGCTGACATGAGACCTTGTCCCAATCAGCCTGCCATGCTTTGATGGCTTCATTCCAAACGAGTGACTTGAGTTTCGACTTGGGAATGCGTTCATAATCATGATGATTGGTATGATTCAGTGTTGCATTACATGCCAGGTAATCTGCTCTTTCATTTCCCGGAGTGCCCTGGTGACCCCTAATCCAATTAACGGCATAATTGTTAGATGATATTGCAACCTCAGCGAAAGTATTGATAGAGATGGGGTTTGTGGTGTCCTTGTTTCTCAGTTTGGTCACAGTGGCAGCACTGTCTGTGTAGATATTTACAGGTATATTGACAAGATTGATGTTACACCATTTGATAACCATTAATACCACAAAGATTTCAGCTTGAAAGACAGAGCACTCTGGGTGCAGCTCAAATGTCTGATTATGGATCTCACCACCTGCATCAAAAATCAGAAGGCACTAGCCATGCCTTCAGCAGTTTTAGAGCTGTCCGTGAAACCTTCAATCCTCGTGGGTACTTCACATGAAAGAAGTCTCATTCTCCAGGCAGGATGTGGGAGGGTGGCCATGAGCCTTTCAATCTCATATATGGAGGCATCAAACATTAGTGTCATTTATGCAGACATCTCTGCCCTGGAGTACCCTGGAGCTAATGGTACCCAGCACAGAAACATAAACTAAAACTTTCGCCAAAAATTTCAAAGAAATAATGAGCACAAACAGATACGTCTTAACGATGTTACGCAAATACTCAAGATCCAATTAAAATACCTATCCATTTATAGAAGAATCATGAGTGTAATTGAAATTATAGCCCACCTCCAAAATGAATTGGACAGCCCTGGTCTATACCTTCCATACAGAATATTTTGTTTCTCTCATGTTCATAAATAATCTACATACTTGTACACATTTATATTGAAATGCATTTGAAAGATACTGTAAAGGAGTACAGAGGCACCTTGTGATGAATTACATCAAAAGGTGCCTCTGCAATATCTCTCTTGGTAATCTGCAATAAGTTTTGTAGTTTTGCATTTTGTATCATTTTAATTAATAAATGTATATCTAGTAAAATTTTTACATAAAATAAATACACAAAAAACCAATTCTTTTAATGGGAGGATGAGCCTGATGCTTTGATAGCAAAATTTCAATATTTGGCTTCAATTTAGTGAGCTTTAACCTTAAATCTCCTCAGTGAGTGATTTCCAATCTGTTTCTTTTTTCCAATTTTTTTTTTTGTAAGGATATTGGCAACCACACTGAAATCCCTTTTCACGAGGTATGAAGATGGAAAAGCTATCAAAAACTTTCTCGCAATAGTCCATAATGCAGGATATGTAACAGGTATGTGTCTCTGAAGCCAGAATTGCTGATATCCCTTTCTAAACTGCACCTTAAGTTCTTTGTTAGTGATTATTCCGATCAGTTCTTGTAACATGACATTCATTTTGTCAATATCACTATATGGATTGATAATCCACTGTGGTATTTTCATAGTCAATACATCTTCAAACTTAGTTTCAAAGTCAGTGTGAAGGACATTTAAATGTTGAATGTAGGCTGAAACGTCATCACCCTGGCAGTTTGTCTGCACCAAATTGGAAAATTGGGAAAATTCGTGCCATCCAATGTTTTGCTTCATTAGTTTCATTCTGGTAAGAAAAGCTGCAATGATGGACTTTGTTTTTATCAAATTTAGACTGTTTCNATAAGTTATATTAATTAATAATAAAGTTATACAAGTTCACTAAGTATTTGGGGTATTTGAGATATTTGAATATTCAAGTTCTGGTTAATATTTAAATTCAAGAAAAATTATATTTGTCCATCTCTAATAATAAGTATTAATAAGAAAAGAATAAGTCGTTTCTGCAGCTTAAAAACAAAGAATTTCAACAAAAACATTGATAAACATGGAATATCTTATGATGCTACTTTGACAAATACCTATAACAAAAACTGTTGTTTTGGTGTAGATATAAAATAACTTTGATATTTATAACTTTAGATATTTTTGAATAGCAAATGTAACTTTAAAAAATACTCTATAAAAGTTATTTAGATATGACTCATGAAACCATATATGGTTTAAAATATTTTCTCTATCCTTGAATTTAAAATTCATTTTTAATGCTTTAATAATTTTTGTTTGTTATATTTAGAAAAAAAAATTTGTGTAATAAATAAAGCAGTCATTTAAGACAAGAAAAATATTTAATACAGTGGTACCTCAGGATATGAACGCCCCAGCATACGAAATTTTCAGAATACGACATGAAATTCGAACATATTTTTGCTTCACAATACGAACAAAAACTCACCATACAACGTTACATTAGTTTGCAGCGTCATTTTTTATTCACTTCTGTTCATTGGTCTCAGTCCGCGTGTTTGCTTTGTCGTGGAAGGATCTCGCTCGATAAAGGAAATCTCGAGGTATTATCAGAAAGTGACTGATTTTATTGAAAAGAAACATCCCGAAAAGGTTCACAGTGGCCATATTGCTGCTCAGAGTAATGACATTTGCCAAAGTAATTTTAGAATCATTTTAAAAAGTAGACAAAGCCAAACCTCTTTGGATAGATATTTTACCGAGCAACCTCTATCCAGTGAAAGCACTGGTGGAAGTGAAGGAAAGAAAGCAAAAAGCAGTGAATAAAAATTTAAAAATATACATATAAAACAACACTAATTTTTTAATCTTTTCTAAGTTATTGTTACATTATGCTATGAAACTTAAGTTTTAGTATCATTTTCCTTCTCCCTCTCTTCCGCCATCAGTTTACACCTCCACCGTTGTCCATCCTCAAAGGTAAAGTGCAAATAAAACTACATTTTTTTAAAATCAATTATTATTCTATTATTGTTATTTATACATTTACAACTACAAAATGCATTTTTCCTTACTATAGTTATTATTATTATTATTTTTTATTTTTTTCAATGTACTATTTAGCATTAATTTGAGTGTGTTTTTCGTGTTGGAACGAATTATTTGGTTTTATATGTAATCGTATGGGAAAAAATGATTCATCTTACNATTTCAGGAAGTGTACAGGAAGTGGCATAAATGTTGGATTTGGTTTTGCATAGACTCAGGAAGGGATTACTTTGAAGACAACAAAACTGACTAGTTTCTAAGTAAATGCAAACAACTTCTATTTGCAAAGTTTTCAAACTTTCCAGAGTGACCTTGTAAACTAAAATTATTATTATGTTTCATATGAACAAATCACTGCTTTGTGCTCTAATAAATCATAGTTTCCACTTGCAAAAAACAGAAAAATTTTTCATTTCTGAGCATAAAAATGTCATATAAAGAGCAAGTTTCTACTTGTAGAAAAATTCTGCAAGTGGAAACAACAGAAACAGAAAATAAAAAAGATTCTATTCATGTATAGATTGTTTTCCTAAAGCATAGAATGTCCCTTTTGTGAAAAACAGATATTTGAATAATACCTATTTTGGTGTCTGGAATGACATTAGAATTCCAAGATGGATGATACTTGATCAATAACATATGGTTTGCTGGTCCTATTATAGCTCCTGCTTCATTTCAACCCTTTGCTCATCTTTTTGGAAGTTAAATACAGTAAAACCCCACTTAATGCTGCCTTGATTAACACTGATTTGATATTGCACAGTCTGCTCAAAGTTTAAAAAAGCTCAAAATTTATGCTGATTCAAATTATTGCGGCATTTCATTGATTCGTATATAATACAATTATTCATGAACATGAACTAATCAGCAAAAGGTGGCAATTTGTTGTAGCACTGTATGTACGTCCCTTAAATCTATGTTTGTTTTGTGCAGTTTTGGAAAAAAATATAACATTATGGATACCATAGGAATTATTGACTTCGCTTGGCAAGAACTAAATGATAAATGCTTGAATGGAGTGTGGAAGAAGTTATGGCTGATGGTATCCAAGAATTATTAACAAGAAGTGCCTATCGCTGTATTATTAGGTTAACAGTTTGGTTAACCTAATCGATACAGCAGGACTAGATGTAGACGAGCAGGATAATGAGGAGTTACTGCAGGTTTCTGGTGAAAGCCTTAGCAATGATGAACTTCAAGAAGTGGCAGAACAATGAATTCGTGTAGAACTGGAAAATAGTGATTCTGAAAACGAAGAACCCAAAAAATTTCTTTACAGATTTCCTTAGTAAAAGTTTCATAACAATAACCAAAATTTTCAATCAAATTGTAGCAAATGATCCTGATTTTGAAAAGAGTGCAAAAGCAAAACGAGTTGTTTTGGATGTGATCTTCTGCTACTGACATTTGCTTATGGAAAGAAAAAGCGACAAATGAAACTACACATAAATATTAAAATATGTCCTAACATTTCAGGTAACAACATTTTCTATATAAAAACATCTGTCATCTTTAATTTAGTCAGAATGTCTTCACATTCCATAGTTTAACTTTAAAATTTAATTTATTAATAATTTATCACTTCAAATATTATTTAATAGTTTGAGTATTTTTATGTTTAGATTTGTTGTTTTAGTTTTGATATTCATATTTAACAAGAATTAAACAAAATTTTATTACTTTGTAATTAAATCATTAACTTTTATATTTCTATTTTCTTGCAAATAGGAATATGAAAAACTATTAGAAGAATGTAAATTAGAAAATCATCAATTACAAGAGTCTCTTCAGAAAATGAGAGAAAAGACTAAAGATGTAGAAAAAAGTTATCAGCTTTCAGAAGAACAATTAGAATGTATGAAATTAAAATTAGAAACATTAACAACAACTTGTCAGTTTCTTCAACATGACATGGAAAAACTGTCATCAGAAAACAAGGTACATATAAATATTTTATTATAGTGTTAATTATTTTTGTATCAATATCTTGTTTTAAAATAAATGAAAAGAATTTTACTTTTCAAAATTAAACAGAAGAAAATTTTACTAATTAATTTCAAAAAGCATGATTTACAATTAAAAATCNTTGAAAAGCGACAAGAATCTTATCCAAGAAGAAAGTTAAAATTCACTTTACAATAAATTGCTTGAAATTTATATACTCACTAACATACAAAGAAGTATGTTAGTGAGTATATACTGTAATAAAAACTTGCAACCAGTTAGTAGAATGTTATAAAGATAATGCACAAAACTAAGATAAACAAAGAAAGTCTTTTACTGGATTTTTTCTTACAAGACAATTGTAAAATTAATTAATTGATTTTATGGGTATACATTTACTAAATAGTAAGTTATTTTTATTGAAATAAAAATGTCCATTATAATAAAAAGCAAGAAAAATATTAAATCTTTAAAAACATATAAAAATAAACTTGTTTGGCATATGACTTATATGGTATAATACTGTATATTTTATGAATAATGTTATTGTTGATTAATTTAAGCTACAATTTTAAATTTTATTTTATTTTTTTGAATACAAGTTTCATGTGAGCTATAAAGTAAGTTATAGCTCACATTAGAACTAAGAATGACAATAAATTTTAAAATTGGTTTTATTTTATTAATTTTTTACAAAAAACTTAGAATATTAAATTTAAAATTAAATAAGATTTATTTAATTTATTTCAGAATTGAATGAACGATGTGTAACATTAGAAAAAGAGAAAAATGAAGCAGTTTCTCTTCATAGTTCTGAAGCAAATTTTAAAGTTAAAATTACAGAATTGGAAAATAAAATAATCAGTATTACAGCAGAAAAAGATGAAGCAATATTAGTTCAGGCAAATATGCAAACTGCTCAAGAACAACATTTGAGTAAATGTCAGGTAAATAATATATTTTAAATATTGCATTTTATAAGGCAGTTGTGTATAAGATGCATCCATAATTCAGTAAATGTTTAGAGGAAAAAAATAACAATTTTGAAGAACTGAGACAAGAAATTCTAATGCAATGTCTAGAAAGAATTTTTAATCATTTTAGCAAGCACTCCCAGTATATCAATATCAATGAATATATCAGTTATATAAGTGAAAATTATTAATGAGATTGACATTATTCTTGCATCATAATTTCTATATTCATACTATAACAAAATAATAATAAATTATCTTGTATCATCATTACAGCTTCTTAACTGCCTTTCCTTATCATTTTTTTTATTTTGACTTAATTTTATTTCTGAATAATTGTAATGGTTACAACATTCAATAAATTCTACATAATCCTTATTGTACTACTGTCTAAACCAAGGCTGCCCAAACTCAGGCCCACCAACACTATTGAATTTGCCTGCCCACAGTAGTGGTCAGCTGTCGCCATGTGCAATGTCATGCTACCAATAATGCCAACTGCCACGTGATTGGTTGATTGGTCAATCGTGGAATGAACTATGACTTGAGTCACTGCCACACCGATGTTAATACTTAACCTATGCATTTATTACACTTGTTCTATTAGTTTTGAGTTGACTTTTGTGTATTAAAATTAAATTGTTGTCACCAAATATTGAAAAATTATTAGCTAATAAGCCCTTCTTAGCTCTCATTGATGTATTTTTTTATTAGGTATTATTAAAACATGTGCACCTTAAAGCTTTGTTTGATTCAAATACCTTCATCGTCATCATCATCATCAAATAATCTTTATTACTTAGCCTGATACTGCTTGGCATAATCAGGCAAGAAATTACAGAAACGATTACATTGATGTTACATGCAGCTGACAATTGCAAAATAATCCAAAAACAAATGTTGGGAAAGAAGTAAAGAGAAAATAATAAATAAATAGAAANGGTTGTGCCACATTTTTAATTTGTAAATGGGATAATTATTGAAAATAAACATATTCTCTAATTCTCTTAATTCAATTTTACAATTTATATTGTTAGTAGTAGTTGTAGATATATTTTTTAGACCCATTATGAAGGTGTTCTTTTTTATAGTTTCAGGGATGCAGGATTGGTAATTGATGGTTTTATTAACGTTACATGGTTTTTTTAAATGTTTTAAAAGAAAATTTGTGTATTTTACAGGGCTGTGGAGTCGGAGTAGTGGAGTTTTGGTATTTTAGCCGGAGTCGGAGTCGGAGTCGTCAAAAAATCTGCCAACTCTGACTCCTTTTTAATTCCCAACTTCTTATGTATATAAAATGGAAGAGTATTAGAATCATGTCAAATTTGACTTTCCAGGTTTTTTTTGCAAATCTACACGTTTGGAGACCTCCCGAACCCCTCAAAAAAGTTAGTAAAGGAGAAAACTTTGTGCACGTGTGTGTGTGTGTGTTGGCATCTAATTTGTTTAATTTCTTTATTTTCTGTTCTGAGATATTAAACAATATCTCAGAATGGGTAAAGTTTAAGAAATGAAATGTGGCAATGTAGCTTGCTTATAAAGGGGCATTAATACTATTAAATTTTGATATTCTTAATTAAAGGTCGACAGGGTGAAGACATAAAAGTGGTCATGTGTCATATCTCTTAATGAATATTTTACTCGTTATTAGCATTCAAAATTAGAAAAAAATAAAATAAAACTTGTCTCTACCCTCAAAGTAAGCTTTTTAGCCATTTTATAATGGTACAGTAAAACCCATTAAGATGTTCTCACCTAAGATGTTAGAACGTATATGGGGAAATGATTTAGTTCAACCACTTTGATGCTTAATAATTAACTCCTGTGTTAAACCATCTGACTTTGATTCTGACCACTCTGACCACAGAAATTATTAAGATTCAAACAGAGTGAACGAAATCATGCCTCCCCCACACAGTCTAACATCCACACATATAGAAAAAACCTTGAATCTTTTGCATATTTCAAAATTTCAAGTTGTCCTGAGTCCAAAAATGTAAAAATTTGGGAAGGATCATTTTTTGACCGATCGCTACACCTTCCCTCTATAACAGCCCTTATATATAACAGCTAGAAAAGTAAAAGTTATCGAATACATTATATATATAATCGAGACAAGTTGATGATGATGATGATGATAATAATATAATAATAATAATATTAAGCGCAGAGCCCAAACAGTTAGGAGTTGAAAGTTGAAATTTGGTACACAGTTAGGGTACGTTATGAGAACGCACACTAAGAAGAGAGTTTTCGAAATTCCTTTCCATGGGGGAGAGGGACAGGGACAGGATTAAGGCTTAGCACTTCCATCAACAATGGCAGTGTTATGTAACAATGGAAATGTTAAGAGAAAGCGACATGCAAGACGCAGATGCAGTTTTTTTCGTTTTTGCGGGAAATTGAACATATTTTTAGAACCATTTAAAAATTCTCTGATTAGTCTGGAAACAAGGGGACCCAATTCTTGCATTTTGTGACTGTAATGTAATAATCTTAATCTTAGTTATCGTTACTTTTGCCTGAGCAACGCTGGGCCTACCTGCTAGTATTTATATATCACTTAGAGGAGTCTTTTAGCTTTGGAATAAAAAGTTTGTACGTTCTATCTTTATTAGAACACTATTTATTGAATCTTTTATTCTGAGGTCATGTGATGACATCAGAATTTCCGTGTCTCTTTTGGTAGCAAGTCCGCCCCTAGTCGGAGTCGGAGTTGGTAGATTTTTATGCGACTCCACAGCCCTGGTATTTCATTAATTATTGTTATATCTAAAAAATTTATTTGGTTGCATTTTTCTAATTCAATATCAAATTTTATATCTTTATTTATATTATTTATAGTATTTAATATTATTGTATCATTCGTTATNCTGAAAATAAGACCTAGCGCACTTTTCAGAGCAAAAATTAATATAAGACACTGTCTTATTTTCGGGGAAACACGGTAGATAGAAATAACATAAAAATAATTCATTTGGAAAAAGATATGTATAAACATAAATTTAAGGAACATATTGAGATTATAAAATTTAAAGATGATAATTTAATCAATATATCAAATGGTATGCAAATAGATCAACAGTGGTATAATATAATAGGTGGCGCTAATGAAAAAAAATTGATTGTAATGTATTTATCATAGTGTTGTGACAGAAAATAATTGGAAATATATTGTAAAATTGTGTATGTATTCTCTTTAAAAATGTTTTTAATGTTACTATGCTAAATGTAATTAATCTGTAAAACAATTATAATTGCAGTTACTGCAATGTTATATTGTAGAACATACACATTCTTTGAGAGTTGTACTTATGTAAGATTTTATGAGCAAATGTTAAAAGTGAGTATCGTAAGTAAAAAAGTAAAAAAAATTATAAAATTATTAATATGCTAGGTTTTCCACATTAATGTTGGAAAATGTATTTGTGGTGTTTTTAATGGCTGTATTTTAAAATCTTTTTAACGTTACCCGTTGTACACTGTGGTTTTAGAAGACAGAACAATAGGTATCGTATAAGTGTGACAATTTTTAAGCATGGTAGTTTTATGTCAGTAAATATGACCTGCACGTGAAGAGTTTTGTCGTGTTACTAATTATGTTTTTTTAATAATTTGTAGTATTGCACTGAAGAGGGACTTAACATTTATATAAGTCCGAAATGCATATGTGGAAACAATAAAAGAAGTGTCTAACCTGAAAGCTGTAATGATAGTCTACCAAACTTAATGTGGGATTAAAGAGACATACATACATAGAAGTTAAATTTCTTTCTAATATTTTTATATAAATATTTAATCAAAATTGTGCAAGAAAAATAAAAGATTCTCTTAATGCAGATATCTGAAGAACATCACTATTTTTATTTTTGTTTTTATCTATAAATGGTTATTGATTGCCATTTTGATGAATTTAAGTGATATGTATGATATTTAAATATTATACATATATTACATATATACAATATTTCTTCAATTAAAACCTATTCTTTAAAAAAATTCCAGGAAATAAAGGTGCTGTTAAAAATAAATCTTGGTCTAAAAAAGCATGGGAAACACATTGAAGTATAGTGTAATATAGTTATGAGTGACAAGTAAGGAGTTTAACTTATTTCTCTAGGAGTTGAAATTCTACCTCTTTGGATTGTATAGAGTTGGACAAAATCTTTTATTCCAAGATTCACAGAAATGATTTTTGAAATAAAATTATAAATATTGTTAAATATTGAACATAGTAATGTTGCAATCAAGTTCATAAGGCAAAAGCTTATCAGCTGAAGGATAATTAGAAAAACCTGAAGGTTGTGAGTTTGAACCAGAAGATTGTAGTCAAGATCCTTATTCTGATAATGACATTGAAGCAGACACAAATGACAATGTAATAACTGAATTGGAAGATGTTGAATCAGGAACTATGAAACAGTTGAACTTATGAACAGTTGAAAGTATGAAACAGTTTAAAATGGTTCAAATATTATAGTAATAATCCAAAAATACAGTCAGTAAATGGTTTTGATAGTTTGGAAAATGTAGGTGTATTAAGGAATTTCTTTCAATTTTTACCCATTTGTCTTCTGTTACAAGGTAATTAGTCCTAGCCTTGAAAAAAACTCAAGGTCTTCAAATAAACTCTGGAAAAGATGTACATTTTAAAAATAAACCCCCCTGGATTTAGCTTGCAATCATATGTGGTTTTTAAGTACACCTGCATGCATAAGGCAGTGACTATCTGTATAATTTCATGCATAATTACACTGCATGTAATTGCTGTTCTTCAAATTTGATGATTATAAAATCCAGTAATGTGTCTTCTCTGTGTGTACCAAATTTCAACATCATACATTGTTTAGTATACGAGATACTGTTTTGTTTACAAAACAATGTCCTTGACAGCACCACTATAGGAGCTCTTCAAACTTTATGATAGCTTGGACTAATGTGAAACAAGTTCAGCTGAAAATAAATAACAGGAGGGCTGAGATATTTATCAGAAGAACCAGAAAATTATTATTATTATTTTTTTTTTTCCAGGCACACTATAAACCTGCAAAAACATATAAACCATTCGGATTGAAGAGACATATACTAAATCTAAAAACATTTAAATTGTTGAAGGTCGAAACATCTCAGGCTGTCTTCTGGAAACAAGCATTCAAAGTTGTAATGACTTGCAGATTGCCATGATATCAGAAGGAAAAATTGCTGCCTTATACATGCGATCGTGTGATAATAAAGAAAAACTGTATAGATAAAAATTATTACATGCGCAGTTTTTTGAGAGTCTGTGATAAGCAAAGAAAATTTTTACATTCAGATGGATAATATATAGCATGAGGATATTATAGAAGCAGAGATAAGCCAGTAAGTTTAGTGAAAAATGCAAAAAAAACTAGTAGGTGCAGAAAATCACTGCTGCCATGTGATTGCAGGTTAATTGAAGAAATATGATATACTGTATATATATTATCAAAAAATTATTAAGGAATTTAAGGTATTAAGATATGTAAATCAATTAATAATTAATAAATATGAATTAATTTAATTTTTACTTATCTGAAAAATTAATAAATTATTTTTAGATGGATGTTTATTAAATATGCAAAAATTTAAATTCAAATTTATTAACTATTGAAGTTCCCAATAGATGGCAATATATTTTCTTATAGTTCAAATTCTGTTGTTATTAAATCACTTAATTAGTAGAATTATTTCTAAGTTTTAATAACTAATTTTATTTTAAGATTTATACAATTGTTATTTTTTAAATTTAATTTAAAAATTTTAAATGATTATCTTATTGTATGATAATTTTAATCATAATTAATATAAATAATTATTTAGTATTCTATGTTCAAATATTTCATTAAAATGTTTTTATTCATAGGTTTTAAAAAATGAGTTGAAAATAATGGCAGAAGCAAGAGATGAAGCTTTAAAATCATTAAAATCATGGAAAGAAGATATCAATAAAGAAACAAGAGAAGTTGAACATCTTAAAGGAGAAATCCATTTCCTTAAAATAGAAAGAAATGAACTTTTGAACAAAATAAATGATATAGTTGAAGTTAAGGAAAATTTAACTGAAAAATTACAATCTTCTGAAGAAGAAAATAAAATCATCGTGGAAGAATTAAAAAGTAATCAAAAACAACTTGAAGAAACAAAAATGGAAATTGAAAATTATAAATTGCAACTGGAACAATCAAATGAAAAAACAAATTTGGCTGTTAGAATTGATGAAAACGATGCTCTTAAAATCAGTTTCGAAAAACTAAAACAGGAAAATAATGCTTTACAAATAGATATTGAGGAATTATCTCAGGAAAAAAATAATTTGAAAGCTAAATTGGAATCATCATTATTAAGTTTAGAAAATATGACTAAAGATAAAGAAATAATAATTGGTAATTTGAATAATATTATGCAAGAAAATGAAGCATTGAAATATGAATTACAAGAAGTTAAAGAGAAAATGGAAATTTTTGTTAATGAACAACTTAGTAAAAGTTTTAATCAGATTTCTAATGTGGAAAAAGAACTTTTGAAAGCACATCAGCAAAATTTGGATTTAGTAGAAGAATTGGATAAGGTCAAAGATCTGCAATGTTTTGTTGAAGATGAAGCTAAAGAATTAAAAGAGGAAAATGATAAGTTGAAAACAGAAATTAAAATACTTGAAGCAGATTTGGAGAACGACAAATTACATATACGCAAGCTGGAAAAGGAATTGCATGCTGCCGAAGAACGAGAACATGTATGTACAACAGAAAATGAAAAATTAAGAATAAAACTACATGAAATAGAAAATGAAAATGATTTAATAAATATTGAATTTGATAATCAAAGAAAGAAACTTAATGCTTTAGAAGAAATATCTGAAAAATATATTTCTATAGAAAATGAAAAAACACTTTTAGAAAGTGAAAAAACTACTCTTTTAACTCAGATTGAAGCTTTAAAACAAGAATGTAATACTCTAAAACTCAACAATGAAAATGAAAATTTATTAAAAGGAAATAAGATTGATAGTGGAAGTTCATTTGATTCTCAAGAACAGATACTTACTTCAATTGATAAACAGTTTGAAGATAATTCTGAATTAATAAAATTTAAAACAGATAATACTACTTTGAAACAAGAAATAGAACAGCTAAATATTAAAATCTTGGAAAAAGAAAATCTTTTAGAAAATATGTCATTAGTTTGTTCTAATAACTTTGATGAAAAGGAAACCAAAAACTTGAACTGTGAAAAAGACACACAGACAGAAATAGATAATAATATAAATCAATCTGAAAAACAGCTATCTGAGAATAATTATTTACAAAATAATAATTCTGATAAGGAATTAAAACATATTGCTAGTGAACAAGAGCTACATAATAAAATAGAATATTTAACAAATGAATGTGAAGAAATTAAAAAATTTTTGTTTAGCATTTCACAAGAGAAAACTTTTTTGGAAAAGGAATTAGAAAAAATGAAAGTTATAAACAGGGCATTAGAGGAAAATATTACAGAAGCAAATAATAACAAAGATTTGTTTGAACAAAAATTTCACGAGAAATCTGATTTAGTCGAGAATATACACTGTCAAATGGATTCATTATTAAATCAAATTGATGATTTGAATTGCCAATTACATGAGAAAATTAAAGATCTTGAAACTGCTGATTTGAAATTAGCTGATGAAAAATCAAAAATAAATCTTTTGCAAAATGAATTAGAAAAATATAAAACTGAATTAGATAATTTACATAGAGAAGGTTATCATTTATCTGATAATTGTCCGTTAATTGAAGATTACAAATATATTAAAGAGGAAAATGAAAAATTTAAAATAAGGTGTAAATATTTACAAGAGACAAACAGGAAATTCGAAAATTTAATTATTGACTTGAACAAAACAGCCAATGATAAAACTTTAGTACATTGTGAGAAAGAATGTTTGCAAGAAAAAAATTCTGAGCAAAATAATAATGCAGAATTACAAAAAACTAATGAAGAATTTATGGAAACATTTATTACAAATGAAAACATTATCCAATTAGAAAATTTTAAAGAAAAATATTTGAAATTTAAAACAGATAATGGTTTCCTCAAAGAAGAAAATTATAAATTAGAAGAAAAAGTAGAATCTTTAATTTCTCAGCTTGATGCCCTACAAAAGGAAGTAACAAAATTATTAGAAGAAAAAGCAGCTATCAGTAATGATTTAGAAGATCATATTTTAATGCATAAAGAGCAACAAATTTCTTTTAGAAATGAATATCAAAGCTTGGAAGAAAAATGTAATGATTTAAAAAACCAATTATCAGAGAAAACTGTAGAAAATGATATGCAATGTAAACAAACTGAGGATTCAAATATTCAAACAGATGAAGTAGAATCCATTGAAGATATTAAATCAGAACTTTCTGCTACTAAAGACTTAATTAAGCAGTTTTCTGAAGAAAATGCTGTATTATGTAATGAATTGGATATGAAATCTACTATGATAATTGATAAAGAGCATCATATTAAAAGTTTAGAAGACAAAATATTTGAACTTAATCAGACAATTGACAAACTTCTAGAGGAGAAAAATGAATTATTGATTGATGTTAATAATAAAAAGCAAGAAAGTAGCAATCAAACTGAGTCTTATGATGAAAATATTAAAGTATTGCAGATATCACTGAAAGAATCAGATGATAAAATGAGAAAAATTAAAGCAGTTGCTCTGAAAACTAAAAAAGAATTAGCCGATTCAAAAAAACAGGTAATAATAATTAATTTAATATAAAACATTTTTAAAAATTTTATTTTAATACTATTTATTTGTTTGTTTGTTATTTACTACTATATTTCTTGACAAAATGTAAAAGAAACCAATATTTTTTATTTTAAATTTAAATGTTTTTATAAGAAATTTTGTTAAAAAAAATTGAGAGTGAAATATTGGAAATTTTTTTAATAAAGTAGTAACTCTTATTTAGAACAATACAATCAGTTATAAAAACACATTAAAACTAATTTTACAAAATGGATTCAATTTTGATTTGTCTGCTTTACAGTGACAATTTAAATAATATTATTATTAGACAAATAAATCACAAACAAAACAAAACAATAAAAGAGTTTTTCATTTGGTAATTGTTTTGTTTTTTCTTCACTTAATACACTTTAGGAGGTTTCATGTCAAATAATTTGTTTTTTCCAAATCAAATTGGATGGAAAGAAATAAAATAATTTAAGATATTACTTTCTAAGCTGAATACCAGTGAGTGTTGTGCAGTGGTGGCCCTAGCCAGGTTTTCAGGTGGTGCGAGATTGCATTGTGGCACCCCTTGTAGAGACTAAACTGATAACATACATTTTTCACATTATTAATAACTTAGACCTCCAAAAGATTAGTATAGTAATACTATGGATGAGAAATGATAACGACGGTAAATGGAGAGTTAACTTGACTCTTGTTAATTCAGATGTATCGCAAGCTGTTGACGTATTTTCCCTCCCCTCCGACGGTGGAATCTCTTAATTTTAGGTTATGGAGATATAGCACAAATTTCAGGATCATATTTTATATTCTCACAGCCCTGCTCACTCTTATGTAAAATCTATAGCATAGTACTAGTATGGATGAGGATCAATAACAGTAAAAAAAAAATAAAAAAAAACCATATTTCTTTCACAAGGCAATATTCATAAATATTTATTTAAACTGGTATGGCACAGACAATGCTCACATCACGCAAAAGACAAATTTGCATCGTAAATTAATTTAAAATTGAAACAAATTAAGAAAAAAAATAAAATAAAAAGCCTACATTGCCACCTTTTTTGTTTTTGCACTTGCAAATGTTATTAATTCAGAATAATTTAATTTCTAGGCATTAGTATTTTCAATAGTTAAATTGCTAAATATGACAGTCTATCCCGACACATGGTTGAACGTAAATAAGTTTTAATTTACTGAAACTTCATTCTCTTTTAGCGGCAGTTACAGGTATGGTCAGCAAAATTCAAAGTGCTGTCCACACATTCTGGAATATATCCTATCAATCATTTTGTTTAATAAGTTGAAGAACTTTTATTGGTTCTGATGATTCAAGTTCTTTCAACAATGGATTCGGGTGTAAAAGTTTTTCAACCAATTCACAACCAGATATGTCACATTTTTCTCCATTGGTTAAACTTATTTCTAAATTTGCACAGGCTTTTTCCAGTTTTGACTTTTCATGAATTGTTTTGATGTTGTATAAAAAGGACAATGTATCATTAAATTTGGATAGTTGTGTAAATCGAGTGACCAACGCATTCTCAATTGTATCGATCATAGAGTAAAAGACGTTTATTTTAAACAATTCTTCAGGATCTGTTGGTGTCTCATCTACGGCCTCGTATTTAAATAATCTCTTCTTTCTTCAGGATCGGACTGAGTTAAAAATAAGATCGATAATGCATTTTGGAACTCAAAAGCGCATTTATCGTTAATACAAATCAGTCAGCATTCGATCTTCGTTCGTTCGTTCTTGATAAAGGTCATTAAAGATGACCGAAAACGTTTGAAATTGTTAATAAATTTGGCTGCAGTTTATGAGGTATTTGAGTAGTATATCCTTGTTGACTCTGAAGTTTCCTATTTTTTTAAACGTAACCAAAATGTCCTTCCTTCGGAATTATTCAGTCTCAAGTAGCCCCTAGTTGCCTACTTGTGATCTGGAGCACTCTTCTCTTCACGTCTTACTCTCACAGAGGTCTCGTCAAGACTAACTTTTTTTTTTTNCACGAAGGTCCAGTAGAGACTAACCCGTTCTTTTTGTTTTATCGGTCCTCGGGCCTTAACTCTCCCATTGTTTTCAGTTCTTGGGATTGGTGGTCCCACCCAAAGGGAAGAAAGGAAATGTTCTAGAAAGACGGAGAACAAAAGGGAATAAGGAAATAAATGTATAAATATTGGTTTCTTTAATCTTGGTATTTATTTTGGCGGGTAGGGTTAAGTAGTAATAAGGTGATTGGGTTTTATTTTTTTCGCAGAAGATCTATCGTTGCATTTTCGGCGCCCCCACTATGACGGTGCCTGGTGCGGTCGCACCGTTCACACCACCCTAGGGCCGCCCCTGGTGTTGTGTTTTCAGTGTTACTTCTAAAGAGCAGCATATACAGTGGTGTGTTTTGCAAGGATTTAATTCTGTCCTAGTAATTTTTTTGTAATATAGGAAGATAGATATATTGGGCTATATGTATAAAACTATTGTACTTAGATGACATATTATGGATTGAAGGAAAATACAATAATTGATGATAGATTTTTGCATGAATGCTAAAATTAGCTAATAATGTCTTTAATATAAAAACCTTAGATTTGCATTTTTGGTTTTTTTTATTTTTTTTATTTTAGATTATGTTTCAGTTACAATAACTTGATCAATTTTTGTGTTACTAGCTTACTATATTATATAAATTATTTAAATGTATGTTTTTATTTCAGTTGAATGAAATAACAAATGAAAGAAATCAGTTAAAGAAAAAAATGGAACAGCTTGTTTCAGAAAAAGACAAGGCAGTTTCTGACTGCAGGCAACATCTTTTAAATTTTCAGGTTTGTTTTTTTTCCAATTAAATTGCATCTGTTTAAAATATTTTTGAAAATTATAATACTAAAATAAATATAAACCTTTGTTTAATATTTCTAATTTAACTTATTTGAAAAGTTTTTTTCAGGAGATCAAAATATTACATTTGGAGAATCAAAACTTTGACAATTTTGATGCTCTAAATATTGTACATGTCTAGACAAACCTGTGTTAAAATAACTCTGCCCATTACCATATAACATTATTATTTTAATACATTTTATGCCATGACCAAAGAAATTTGAGCAAAGAGTTATCAAACATATCAATATTCATACAAACTGAAAAGATAGTTTAATTAAACTATCTTTTAATAACATGTGAAATATTAGGTACATTCCAGTAATCATAAGTCTTAGCCACAAATGATTTAGTAAGTTTTTACTAGAACTAATAACCTAACACGATGGCAGAAGCAAACAGCACTATATTGACATTTGAAAACTTATTTTTTCAAAATAATTTTGGGTTAATACAGACGAGTAGTAAAAAATGGTGTTGATAATATAACCATGGAGTTGGCTATATTGCTTCATCAGAACTCACCATATTTACAGCCTGATGAATGTAATGTGCATGAGTCACAGCACTGATGAACTTATCAGTGAATATCGAAACACATTTTAGTACATCATGGTTCACCAATGCGCTGTTTGATGCATATTGGAACGTACCCATTCTAATTCATGTCCTATAGCAGCATGTCAAATAAAGGAGAGAAAAATTTATCTGTTAGTAATNATAAAAGAGTTTTTCATTTGGTAATTGTTTTGTTTTTTCTTCACTTAATGCACTTTAGGAGGTTTCATCTCAAATAATTTGTTTTTTCCAAATCAAATTGGATGGAAAGAAATAAAATAATTTAAGACATTACTTTCTAAGCTGAATACAAGTCAGTGTCACTTCTAAAGAGCAGCATATACAGTGGTGTGTTTTGCAGGGATTTAATTCTGTTCTAATAATTTTTTTGTGAGATAGGAAGATAGATATATTGGGCTATATGTATAAAACTATTGTACTTAGATGACGTTATGGAGTGAAGGAAAATACAATAATTGATGATAGATTTTTGCATGAATGCTAAAATTAGCTAATAATGTCTTTAATATAAAAACCTTAGATTTGCATTTTTGGTTTTTTTTATTTTTTTTATTTTAGATTATGTTTCAGTTACAATAACTTGATCAATTTTTGTGTTACTAGCTTACTATATTATATAAATTATTTAAATGTATGTTTTTATTTCAGTTAAATGAAATAACAAATGAAAGAAATCAGTTAAAGAAAAAAATGGAACAGCTTGTTTCAGAAAAAGACAAGGCAGTTTCTGACTGCAGGCAACATCTTTTAAATTTTCAGGTTTGTTTTTTTTCCAATTAAATTGCATCTGTTTAAAATATTTTTGAAAATTATAATACTAAAATAAATATAAACATTTGTTTAATATTTCTAATTTAACTTATTTGAAAAGTTTTTTTTCCAGAAGATCAAAATATTACATTTGGAGAATCAAAACTTTGACAATTTTGATGCTCTAAATATTGTACATGTCTAGACAAATCTGTGTTAAAATAACTCTGCCCATCACTATATAACATTATTATTTTAATACATTTTATGCTATGACCAAAGAAATTTGAGCAAAGTTATCAAACATATCAATACTCATACAAACTGAAAGATAGTTTAATTAAAAAGTCTTTTAATAACATGTGAAATATTAGGTACATTCCAGTAATCATCAGTCTTAGCCTCAAATGATTTAGTAAGTTTTTACTGGAACTAAGAACCTAACAAGATGGCAGAAGCAAACAGCACTATACTGACATTTGAACACTTATTTTTTCAAAATAATTTTGAGTTAATACAGATGAATAGTAAAAATGGTGTTGATAATATAACCATGGAGTTGGCTATATTGCTTCATCAGAACTCACCATATCCACAGCCTGATGAATGTAATGTGCATGAGTCACTGCACTTGATAAACTTATCAGTGAATATCGAAACACATTTTAGTACATCATGGTTCACCGATGCGCTGTTTGATGCATATTGGAATGTACCCATTCTCATTCATGTCTTATAGCAGCATGTCAAATAAAAGAGAGAAAAATTTATCTGTTAGTAATGAGTTCTTTCTTTGGATAAGTAATAATAGGATTTACATGTAATAAATAAGTCTGTACTATATAAGATTAAAAAAAAATTCATGTAAAATATCATGCTTTGATGAAAACAACATGAAATACATATTTATCTTATCATTAAAGAATGTATAAATGTCTGTTCATGTATAGATTATTCATATACAAGGTATTTGTTATTCTGTATTAAATGAAAATAATGTTTATTGTCAAACTATTTAAATTTTTATGCAATACAGGGTAATTCAGAATCATCTGATTTCAAAATTATCTAATTATTATTCTGTGTTAATTTTTAAAAATCAGAATCATTTGACTTTTTAAAAATTAACACAGAATGATTAGCACATGAAAGTAAAGGACAAATGTCTAAGTTTCAGATTATGAACAATAGCTAACACTAGTGTGTTGTTTATGAAACTCTTTTAAAGAAGTGAAAATGACATCTACTCAACAGAAAACATTTTGCATGCTGCAGTTTGCACAATATCAGAGTGTAATCACTGTTCAGCATGAATTTTGTAGAAAGAACCAAATAAATCCACTGATGACTCAGAGTATTTGCAGGTGATATCAGCAGTTTGAGAAGAAATAAGTCCAGGGCAACCAGGCATACCTTCAGAGGATATTGAAAGAGTGAGAGAGACTTTCATATGCAGCCTGAAGAAACTGACCTATTGTGCTAGTTGAGAACTGGGGATTCCTCAGCCTACTGTTTGGCATGTGAAGAAAAAATTGTGTTACAAGCCATATAAATTGAAAAACTTGCAAGCATTGAAACCTAGTGGTGAGACACAATGACTGAACTTCTCCCTTTACGTGCAAGAAGCTATGGAGGCAGACAATTTTCACACTCAACTTGTTTTCAGTGATGAGGCCACTTTCCATTTAAGTGGCAAAATGAACAGTCATAACAGTCACGTATGGAGCTCTGAAAATCCTCATGCATGCATTGCACATGAATGGGACTCACCCAAATTGAACACTTTTTGTAAACTTTCCATATCAAAGATTTACAGACCATTCTTTTTTTGCAAAAAAAAAAGTGATTGGCATTTCATATTTGGATATGTTACAAATCTTGCTTTTTCCCCAGTTGAAGAAAGATCTTCCCAACTTAATTTTTCAAACAAGTTGAGGTACCGCCCCATTGGCATACAGAAGTTTGTCATTTTCTTAATGCTGAGCTTAATACAATCCAACTGCAGGGTATGCAGTTGGATTGGTCACATTGGACCAGATGACTTGATGTTATACAGTGACTAAAGGAACTAAAGGAAAACTTTGTGACTACAGGAAGTCATATCACCCATTTCATTGGTGCACAAGAATAGTGACACAACTCAAAAAAAAAAAAAAATAGTTCTTCCAGAACAGCCATTTAAAAGTTTCTTTTATTTCTGCAAGGCTTTGTCACGATCTTGGATTTATAAAATTTTCAAATCTTTTTTGGAAATAAAGATTTGAAAATTTTATAAATCCAAGATCATGACAAAGCCTTGCAGAAATAAAAGAAACTTTTAAATGGCTGTTCTGGAAGAACTATTTTTTTTTTTTTGAGTTGTGTCACTATTCTTGTGCACCAATGATTTGTAAAAAGACCTAGATATTTGTCTTTTACATTCATGTGTTGTTAATTTTTAAAAATATAAAAATTTAACATCAGATTATTCTTTCTGAATTACCCTATATATTATTATTTTTTAAAGCATTATATAAAATATTTACTTTTTAAAATTAAATATTAAAATTATTGATTAATATGTAATAGTAATCAAAATCAATATTGAAGTTATTAATTTATTTGCATAATTTTGAATAGACTTTGCAAGTTGAATATGATAAGATTGAAGATAAATGTGAAGCAATGAATTCAAAACTTAGGCAGTTTGAACAAGACGTAACTCAGTTAACATCTGAAGTAACATCAACAAAAGAAAAACTTGGTGAAATTAAATGTGAAAATGATTCTTTGAAAAAATCTTTAGATGCAACTGTTTCTGACAAAAAGGTACATTATATCCAATTTCTTTTTACTCTTCTTTGGAATCCAATTCTAATATTATTATAGAATTGTACATTACATTACAAGTACATTATTATAATCAGATATTAATCTGATTATAATAATGTACTTAGTTTATTCACTACTATTCTAAACTAACTGCTTTTTTATTTTATTTGTTAAATACCAGTAAGTAAGGCTGCATTTGCACTGCCAACNAATATCACATGACAATAGTGGGATGAATACATTATCTTTTATATAACCCCACAAAAAGATAATGTGCTCATCCTACTGTTGCTGCATGATATCACTGAGTTAAAAAAGTGTATCATCACAGCAGTGTCCACTATTGACGAGCCTATGTTACAAAAGCTGGGCAAGAACTGGATTATGTATGCCATCTCACCCATGCAGTACATATTGAACATTTGTAGATGTTAAAAAAAAATAGTTCCTGCCCCATCCACTGTTGGTTTCATTGAAGTGAGTTCAGTACCTCTCTCACAATGACTTTTTGTAATTCTGAAAAATATTATGAAATGTTCTATATTTAGCAAATAAGTGATATAATGTAGCACCTCTTATAGGCAATTGCTATTAAATAATCACTCCTCTTCATGAGTGTATTAGGAATGCATTCAAATAGCTGTAACTCAATATATTTTACATTCACATCAATAACCACTTCTTATATAATTAATAACCAGTCTTTGAAGAATCTTCTCAATGGAAGTACTTGCATTCAAGAATTAAGATTAATTAATTTCATTCTATTTGTTGATTCTTAGAAGTCAAGATTTCATTCTTAAAGTCGTTTATAAAGAAAGTTTGGTCAAATAAACTAGAATGGCAATTTATAAATTTCCATGGCTGCTTACAATAGCTATTATATTAAAGCATTTTTTCAATAAATTCATTTAATGGCATTCATATATAAACTCATATAATAAGAAAATATTTCAAACAAAATATATTTCAAATAGTGAATGATCAAAATTTGCTCTGATCATCTTTCTTTTCATTCATAACTTCTATTCATCTTAACCATTGTTTTGCTAGACAGTTTCTTATTGTAGATTGTTTCAGACAATCATAATTATTAGCCAATATAATAATAAATTTGCAACTCATAGCAGATAAGATTAATTTGCAAAATATTGTATCAATTATTATAAAAGAAAATGAATTTCAAAAATCTTGAAACATTTCTTTAATGATAAGCATAAATTTTGCTAAAGGGAGCTAATCACACAGGAAGCACATCAGTAATTGACTATGCCAACTTTATTATACAAAGAAATACATTTCAGACTTACTTCTCCTCTTCAGCCCTTTATTACAGATCTACTTAATTACACAATAATTACTATAAAATTCTAATATACCATACTGTATATATAATACATTCTAAAAAATTTAAACACAGTATATTACTTTTGACTGTTTTTTAAAATATATTAGTGACCATTGATAAATAAACTTTGTATTGATAAACTAATAAATAAAACTAAAATTAAATTAACAGAAGGTTATAATAAAATATGATTTTAAAAAATTAAAGAACAAAAAGGGAGTGTATACCTGTATAAAAGTAAATGTAAAATAATCTAAAAAGTTAATTAAAAAAAAGAAAACCTTTTATAATAAATGTAAGAGAGCTTCATTAACCATTGTAAAACACTTAAAATCTCACTGTACCTTCCTCAACCTAGTTGATATTTACACAATACAGGATACAGTGTATTATAAAACATGGGAAGTGAAAGGAGGTTGGAAGGGATCCACAATGAGCTAGTTTAATTATTTAATAATGAATGTCAGATCTTACTGATGACTATTCCTGTGTTAAAATTCATTCTGTTTTCTTTAATTTCAATGATTTCTAAATGCTCATAAAATGTTCTTTTAATAATAAAATTCTTAAAAAAGAAAAAGAATCATATTCAGTGAGACCTTGAAACTCTCTTGATCACAATGTAAGATAAGTGTAGAGTTGATGAACCAATAAATAAAATTACACCAATACAAAGTTTATTCATCCAGTGGTCACTAATATATTTTAAAAACAGTCAAAGGTAATTTACTGTATTTACATTTTTTAAAGAGTGTATTATGTATTCAGTATGGTCTATTGAATTATATAGCAATTATTGTTTAATTAAGTAGATCTGTAATAAAGGACCAAGGAGAAGAAGTATGCCTGAAATGAATTTCCTTGTATAATAAAGTTGGCATAGTCAATTACTGATTAGTCTCTTCAGTAAAATTTATGCTTATCACCAAAGAATCTATTAGGAGAATGAGTAACAATTAAACAACCTTAAAACATTTGTTTACTCTAGCAATACCTTCAGGTAACAATTTCTATTGTTTCATCTATCATAGCAACATTACACTACTAAAAAGTGATGTTCGAGTTCAAAAGCATTCAAGAATGTAAAACAGAGAAGATGAATTTCAGAATATTTTTTTCATTTATGGAGTTTAAATAATCATAATTATGTTTAGATTTTAAGGAAACTTTTTCAATTTTTCCAGAGTTTGAAAGATCAATTCAAAAGCATTTCATTTATAATTTAGATTCTTAAAAAAGTTCTTATGTTTATTATTATTATTTAATTAAAAGAAGAGTCACTTGAAATGCAATTGGTTAAAATATCACTGGCCCATGCATAAGAACATGTGGATGACACACAATGGCAGTGCATATAACATCATTACAGAAAAAAAAATTCAACTTTTATTGTGAGTTTAAAAATATACTTTAAAATACAGGGTGATCATAATAAAAGTATTTCTATTCAGAGACATCTACAGATTTTCTGGGCATAATTAAACCAAACACAGTAATAATACTGTCCAGCATATGAGGTAGAGATCCTTGTGGAAAAAAAATTACAGTAGAGCGTCATTTATCTGAATCAATTGGGGACTGGGGTTGTTCGGATAACTTATTTTTCGGATAACCGATTATGTATGAAAAAATATATTAACCTATCCCATGTTGAAATTTTTCTCCGTTGCGTGTCGCTTCGCATTGAATTTTCGTCGATGTTAAGCCTAACATAAACTTTTTAAAATAATAATCGTGGCTATTGTATCATTAAAAATTATTTCTTTATTTTGTACAAACAAAATAAATATATTGAAAAATATAAAAACCAAAAATATATACTTTAGAAGGTGATCTAGTATCAAAAATGTTCGATTCAGCACTACACAGTCCTCAGAAAAACACCACACAAAAATGCCAGTGCTGCCAACTAAAACACACACACCAACAAAAAAAATATTGGAGTAGCCCAAGATATAGCCAAAGATTGCAGCGCCACAGCACTAGCAAAAATTTAAATTTGCCAACTGGAATTCTTTCAGATAACCGACATTTCGGATAAACGACGCTCTACTGTATAAATTTTTTACAAAAAAGCTTTATGTTGTTTTAAGAAAGTATTCTTTTAATTAAATTTCTATTTTTCAAAGCATATTTTTGCTTTTTGATTACATAAAAATACCATTATATATTTGCCTAAACATGATAATTGATATTGTAAATATCTTATGTTTCACTTTAGCAAACTGTAATTAACTCAAAAATAGTTAATTAAAATAAACTACATGTCATAATATCCATTTATGTCCTTTCATAAAAACAGTTATATAGTAAGTCTTCTAATTCTAATTTAATTAAAAAAACTGATGAAATATAAAACAATAGCAAATAAAACTTCAAAATGTATTAAATACCTCTTCTTGGACTTTCATGATTAAATAAGATTCCATTCACAGCAAACAAATTATATGCTTCTCTATAGTTTATCACAATCCAAAAACCATATAATTTGGCTACACCTAAAAAATAATACATTATACTACTTTAAATATTAAGAAAATTCTCATATTATTATTCTATTACAAGTTAAAATATAATAATTGTATTACAGAAAATTGTAAGTTTCGTATTAAGATTTATTTATTTTATGCTTCTTCATTTCAAATCATTGTTTTATGGTGTTTAGTTTGATGCAACACAATGCATATGTATAATTATACATTCATAAAAATATAAGAAATACATTAAATATTTGCTGAAGTTTGTTCATTTATGTTAGTTATAAGTTTTCGTATATATAAATTATAAACTCAGACAGTTAAAAACAAACTATAATATTTTAAATATAAAATATGCCAATTTTAAAAAGCGATTTTTGGATTATTTTTTCATTATATTATAGATAATTACAATTGGAAAATCTAAGAACTTTCTAAATTATAATGCTTGTTTTAGTTAAAATTTAAATTTATGAAATAACTTCAATTTTTATCTCCAATTAATTGATTCTGATTATTTTAAAAATATGTTTCTATGCAACATTTCTTTTACAAAGCATTGATAATTTTTTAATAACAACTATGTAAAACAAACTATTCTGTTTAACAGAATTGTTTAAGCTTTAAAATAAAAAGCAAAGTGCAATTTGCTAAATTTGCTGTTTTGGTTTTACATCCCATTGAAATCAAAAACTAATTTTGAATTGATTTTGTAACATGCAATTAATAATGAAAATTTTGGTTTGATTATATATATATATATATGTTACTGTGAATGGCCGAAATCTGGCGAATGTCAACATTCTCCGGTGAATGTCAACATTCACACAGTCGTTTCGTGTATGTCCGAAATATTTGCTAAATATCGTTATTTCTCACTTACACCGGCAAATGTCGACATTCAGAATGCGCTGATGGTGAATGTTGAATAAAAATATTTTTATTACATTAAGACAAAAATGCAACTTTTTAATGTGTCAAAATAGGAGAAAGCTTAAGTAACAGCACATGTAAATAAACTGTTGAACCTAAAACGAACAGTACATTCTAAATCATTAAAGAAAATAATACAAAATAAACTTACACATAAATTATGTGATTAACGTTATACAATCTTATTTATTGCAACAACTTAAACTGTTATGGCACTTTGAATTGCACGAGAGTCCCTT